GGTGGGTTTCAGCAGATTCTGACCAGTTCTGGAGAACCGGTAGCGGAAATTTTGAGTAGTTCGGAGAACCGGTAACTACCACCTCTGACTGGCTCTGCCCCCATTTATTCTCTGCCTCCCGAGTCCCAGATGATTGTGAGGAAATGGGGATTTTGCAGTATCCTTCCCCTGGAGTGGGGAGGGAATGGAGATTTCACAGTAGCCTTCCCCTGGAGTGGGGAGGGAATGGAGATTTCACAGTAGCCTTCCCCTGGAGTGGGGTGGGAATGGAGATTTTACAGTATCCTTCCCCTGCCATGCCCACCAAGCCATGCCACGCCCACAGAACCGTTAGTAGAAAAATTTGAATCCCACCACTGAACTATGTCAAGCTTTTCCCACGATAGACCTCTTCCCTATTTCATTACAGCAAACTGTTCTACGATATCTTGTAAGGATTTTTTTAAAAACGAATTTCTTAGGACACATTTTACATGGGAGTCCTTGAAGGGGTTCCAAAAATCAAGATGGCAACTCCCAACCATGTGACTGTAGCCATCTTGACTTTTTGATGACAACCCTATCTTTAGTAAATGTATGATGGTGCTAAGCACATTTGCCTCTGTTTGTTTGAGGCCATGCATTCCTGCAGAAAACCATTCCTACTTGAATATATTTATTTTTTTTTCCGTGTTTTTAAAGGAAAGGCCTTTTACCCAGGGAGACAGTTTGTATACAGTACTTCCGAAGGAAATTTTAAAAAAAAAAACAATCCAGAAAGGGTTCCCATTTTCTTACTTTTACGATCCTGTACAAAAGAGGGAACTGCAAACTCGAGCTATGGATTTGCTGCAGGGGAATCAGAGCCCCACGTCCAGCAGTTTTGTTTCTAAAATAATAACAATAACAATAATAATCGGAGATGTTTTTGGAGGCTCAAAAAGCTGAACGTGAACTTTGATCTATTGTTTCTTTCAAGCATCCAGTGACTAAGAGTAGATTGCCTCTGACTGTGGACGTTACTAGTTATTGCTGCATCAAGACTTTAAACCAGTAGTGGGTTTCACTTACCTTCGCTACCGGTTCGGAACTGTGAGCGCGTGCACACGCTCGCTTTGTTCGTGCGCGGCGCTTCTGCACATGCTCAGAACCTTCTGCGCACGCGCAGAGCAGTGGTGGGTTCCTCCTGGTTCGGCCAAGCCGGTAGCAGTGACGATATGACGTCACCGAACTGGTTCTCTTTGTTCGGGAGCTGGGCCCTCCTGCCCCCCCTATTCTTACCTTTTATTTGGCCCCACCCCCAATCTATTTGCTGCCTCCCGAGTCCCAGCTGATCAGCTAGAAGGAAAAAAACTGTTTAAACTCTTGCCGCATGGGCCGCCCTACAGCTGATCAGTGTTAAAAGGCAGTGTGGTGGTAGACCAGGGCGCTCGAAAAACAAATGGGTAGACCAGTGCCTCCAAAAACAAATGAGTAGACCAGTGCCTCCAAAAACAAATGAGTAGACCAGTGCCTCTGAAAACAAATGAGTAGACCGGTGCCTCCAAAAACAAATGAGTAGACCAGTACAGCTCTGCAAGCAGTTAAAAGCCTGGTAGAGCAGTATATCTGCTAAATCCTAAAGAATTGTCACATGACCATCATGCTACGCCCATAAAATAAGCCACGCCCACAGAACCGGTAGTCAAAAAATTTAGAACCCACCCCTGGCTCAGAGCATCCGTGATGACATCCGGACGGGTGGGCGGAGCCTCCCACCAAACCAGGGCGAACCGGTAGAAACCCACCACTGCTTTAAACCCACCGTATTTGGGGACTATAAGAAAGAAGGAATTCAATGTAACTAAAGCAGCGGTGTCAAACTCAAGGCCCAAGGTAATTAGATCTGGCCCTGGAAACAGTGAAGGCCCGGTCTGCGGTACTTCTGCCAGTGAAAACGGGCTCCCAAGCTCCGTTTTCAGCTGCAACGGCCTCCTGCAACCTTCTGTCAGTGAAAACGGAGCTCGGGAGGGTCGTGTGTGGTGCCCCGACACGAATGGCATCAAGCTGGCCACGCCCCTGTTCCTCCCCCCCCCCAAGGTCAAACACAACCTCGATGCGGCCCTGAATGAAGTCGAGTTTGACACCCCTGATCTAAAGCGAAAAGACAAAACATAAAATGATTTAAAAGCCTTCCAATTCTTGAAAACTCATTCCTTGGCTGCTTTAGGGAAGAGAAAATAAATAAATCCGTAACCAGAGAGGGGAATCACGTTATCAAAAAGAGTGTCTCGTCCAGTACTGTGGAGATTTATGCAAACCAAGTTCATTCAACTCTTCTTGATCAGGGACACTGTGAATTATTATTATTATTATTTTTTAATAGCCATCCGTTCCCTTTTTCTTTCTCGCTCTGCTGATTCTTGCTTGTCGAATGAGAACTAGTACAGACACGTTGGTTGGGAGGAATAAGCTAAGAGGATTTTAAAATGGTATTTTGCACAGGTATAAGTGTTGTATGAATAAACTGAGATTATGCTGACCGTTTGTAGACTTTCTTTTAAAAGGTTGCACTAACGAACTTTCAGAGCTGGTTCTCTCCACAACAGATCTCTCATCACACAATGGGCATGACAAGACTAATTGCCCATTCACATGTTTGAAGTGATCTTCCTTCCTTCCTTCCTTCCTTCCTTCCTTCCTTCCTTCCTTCCTTCCTTCCTTCCTTCTTTCCTTCCTTCCTTCCTTCCGAGGTGGGTTTCAGCAGGTTCTGACCAGTTCTGGAGAACCGGTAGCGGAAATTTTGAGTAGTTCGGAGAACCGGTAGTAAAAATTCTGACTGGCCCCTCCCCATCTATTCTCTGCCTCCCAAGTCCCAGCTGATCAGGAGGACATGGGGATTTTGCAGTAACCTTCCCCTGGATCATTTTTTTTTGGTCCGGCCATTAGTTTAACCAGACAAACCCAGATTTAATTTGACCAAGGAACGTACCTCTTAAAGCTTGTGTGCTAGTTCTGTGACGCTCAAAAATCACGACCAATCTCAGCAAAATCCAGGCTGGGAAGTATCCGATTTGGCCAGTGGACTACTTCAGAGGTCTCCAACCTTGGCAACTTTAAGCCTGGAGGACTTGGGAGCAAAGCTGGCTGGGGAATTCTGGGAGTTGAAGTCCTCCAGGCTTAAAGTTGCCAAGGTTGGAGACCCCTGAACTAGAACGCATCTCTTAGAAGGGTGATAAGTCTTCACCCACCACTGAATGCCTATCACAGACTGCCCAAAGACTGCCCCGACTCAACTTTTCTAAACTGTCAAAGGCAGCAAACAAAAGAGGATTTGAGCAAATCACTGAGCATTTTGGCTTGGATGTGAACAATTTTAATTTTTTGTAAAAACAAATGAACAGTGGAGTCAGTAAACAAGTCAATGGCTTCTGCAAATAGATGGTTTAGTGTCTTCAGTGTTTTCACACACAATCTAATCAGGCACATAATCTAATTAGACCTGTAGTCCATCATGAGAGGGCCGAGAAATCATTCCCTCACATGAATTTGAAAATCAAAAGTTGCAGCTGCATGTGTCAACCCTGAGGCTGACCTGACTGAAGCCATTTTTATCACTTCAGTGTTGCTACACTGGAGCTAAGGGATAGGGAGGGGGGATTTGAGATAGAGGGGTTTCTGTAGCCAAAAAACCCCCCCATATTTTCTCTTGGGAACCAAGGACATTCTCACTGGTCGGAAGAAGGCGGAGTGATGCTACCCAGTTGCCGGATCACACCGTGATTGGACCATCTGACTTTTTTGAGAAAGTGAACAAACTTTTAATTAGGTGAAAACCTCAGGAACCCTCAGAGTCGGTTTTCAGCAGATAAGTGCCAATATGATAATTCCTAATAAAAGTCATCTTTGAGGAATCTGCATGACTTGGAGTCTTGCTTGCTATGGATTTATTACCATATTTTTCGGAGTATAAGATGCACCTTTTTCCCCCCAAAAAAGAGGGTGAAAATCTGGGTGCGTCTTATTCTTCGAATGTAGCCCTGCCCAGCTTCTCAAACGGAGGTTTCAGAGGCTGAAAAAAGCATCAGAAAGGAAGCTTCAGAAAAGAAACCCTCTAACAGAGCTTCAGAAAAGAAGCCTCTAAACAGAGCTTCAGAAAAGAAGCCTCCAAACAGAGCTCCAGAAAAGAAGCCCCCAAACAGAGCTTCAGAAAAGGAGCCCCCAAACAGAGCTTCAGAAAAGAAGCCCTCAAACAGAGCTTCAGAAAAGAAGCCCCCAAACAGAGCTTCAGAAAAGAAGCCCCCAAACAGAGCTTCAGAAAAGAAACCCCCAAACAGAGCTTCAGAGGCTTTTTTTCTGAAGCTCTGTTTTGGAGGCTTTCAGAGGCAGGAAAAAAAGTTTTTTCTGAAACAGAGTTTCAGAAGTTTCAGAGGCAGCAAAAAAAAAAAAGCAAGGCACAGAGCTCACAACTAAGAAACCTGTTGCTCAAATTCACCTCTGGGGACAGCTGATTGGGGTATTCCGGGAGGCTGATCCACCTGCCAATCAGCTTTTTTCTTATTTTCCTCCCCAAAAACTAAGGTGCATCTTATACTCTGAAAAATACGGTACTTGGAACCTGACAGCATGCTTATTGCTTTCGAAAATAGAAAAAAGGCAGAATTAAAGCAATGCCATTTTCCACAAATAAAGGCAAATATATGTGTCCCAGGTTAATGTTGCAGGACCCAATCCGGATCGGTCACTGGGACGAGAGGTTTACTCTTCTGAGCTTTCAGACTCATGCTGGAATCCATCCTCGGGGAACTTCTCTCTACCGGGAGGTGTGGTAGACAGAAGTTCTTCTCTCTCTCTCTCCCTCCCTCCCTCCCTCCCTCCCTCCCGCTCTCTTCTACTCTCTACATTTCGGTAAAGAGAAGTTCCCCCAGGATGGACTCCAACATTAGTCTAAAAGCTCGGAAGATTAAACCTCTGGTCCTGGTGACCGACCCAGATTGTATCCTGTAATACCAATTCATCTACTTCATCTAAGACAGGGGTGTCAAACTCAAGGCCGACGAACCGGATTCGGCCCATGTGGCTGCCCTGGAAATAAGCAAAAAAACAGACTGTGGTGCCTCTGCCAGTGAAAGCAGAGCTTAGGGGGCCACACACACCCCTGGACCCCGTTTTTGCCTCTTAGAGGGCTTCAGGAGGCCGTCGTGGCTGAAAATGCAGCCCAGGGGGGGTGCACGTGCCCCCCCAGCCCCGTTTTCACTGGCACAGGGCTAGCAAAACAAACTAAAATGTTTCCCCCTTTGCATTTGAACATACAAGAAGGAACAGGAAAGGAGAAAGGGAGAGGAAAGACAAAGACAAAGAAAAAGAAAAGGGGAAGATGGAAAGAGAGCAAGGAAGGGAAAAGAAGGCAAGAAGGGGAAGGAAGAAGAAAGGAGAATGAAGAGGGAAGGAAAAAGAAAAGAAAAGAAAAGAAAAGAAAAGAAAGGAAGGAAGGAAGGAAGGAAGGAAGGAAGGAAGGAAGGAAGGAAGGAAGGAAGGAAGGAGGTAATGTGAGGGAGGATCTGAGGGAAGTCCTGCCTTAGCCACCACAGGTGCCCCCAACACAAGTGATGTTGAGCTGGCCACGCCCACCCTGACCATGCCTACCACAGCCACACCCACTCCGCTCCCCCCAGGTCAAACACGACCCTGATGCGGCCCTCATTTAAATCGAGTTTGACACCCCTGATCTAAGCCATTACATAACGTGTTTCCCCGAATATAAGACCCTGTCTTATATTTTTTAGAACCCTGAAATAAGCGCTTGGCCTTATTGCCATGCGCTCAAAAGCCCAATTGTGCTTATTATCAGGGGATGTCTTATTTTGGGGGAAACCGGAGAGAAATGGCAAGAGAGCACTAACTATATTTCAGTCCTTCCTTTTTTTCCAATTGCTTTTCCCAAAAGTGGATAGCTACCATCTAGGGCTGTGCAACACTTTCAGTTCCAAGAACCTGCTTTCAGAGGGCACCGAGAAGCTAACGTTACACCCTTCTAGAACTTTTAGCCATCCTTCTGAAGTCAAGCGTTAGCTGCAGAAACCGTCCCAGGTCCCGGGTGCTTGAAGGAGCTGCGGATAAGGTTCCGTTCATCACCCTGCTTGCTCTGAAAGATCTCTTGGGAATCCAAAACTCAATCCGCTGGAATCCCAACGTGTTATTTCTCAAATGTATTTGCAAGCTGAAACTGGGCAAGGTATCAACTGGGTTCTGTCTGTGGGTTATGAAACCAGAGCGACTGATTTGACCGATAGATCAAAAAGCTACAGTATGTTCTTCCCAGCCAAGGAATTCTCCTGTCTCCAGCCCGTAACCTGAGAGTAACCCGAGCTTTGAAAGGGACGGCGCGTTTGGGAGGAGAGACAAAAGCCACGAGGAGGAAAGGAAAACGTTTGATACCAGTTTGAAAGAATTTTAATTCTGTCTCGTTGACGGCAATGAGATGCTAGTTGCAGCCAACTTTTTGCAGAGCGGTTTAAAAAAAACAGGTTTCAGAAACTAATCGGTCCTATCACTTCCATGCTAACAAAGGTGTTCAATCAAGGTATTTCTGGCAAATCCTTTGAGTTGGCGGACGAAGCTCTTCTCTTAGGCTACAGTGCCCTCCTGTGGAGCCTTCCCGGATCGGCCTCCGTCCCATTCATCAATTCCCACAGATTAACTTCCCAAACCAACTTGGGAATTTTCCAGTTCCAACACACATCAAGTTGTGATTATTGCCACCGGCCTGTCGTTACTTCAAAACAACAACAACAATAACACCAACACAACCCAAAAAAAAAAAAAAAAAAGAACAGATGAGACCCGCCATCATCACACAGTTGTATACATTGTTTTAATGCCACCCCAAAGTCACTTCAAACCACTCTGGTTTTAATCTGGCAGGTTGGTGGTTGCCGATTCCAATCCTTGGCAGCCTGAATTCTGCTGATATTTGCGCTGTAATCCTAAGGCTCTGGTTACTAGTCGTCGGGCTACTGCTGTATCTGTCGGGGGTCTTTCTTTAGCCAGCTGAAGGAGCTCTGAGGAAGGGAAAAAAAAAAGAGAGAAAGATGGCAGAGAAGGAATAGAAGAATTGGAAAAGAACTGGAAAAGGAGTCTTATGAAGCCTGGCGCAATGATCTCGAAGCCACAAATCATTTTATTTCATGAAGTAGATCAGATCTAATCTAAATGTACAGAGGACTTTGATGTTAGAATTTCTCTCTCTCTCTCTCCATACATACATACATGCATACATACATACGTTTTCAAAGAACGTTAAAATACAAAATTCGAAAAAAAAGGGTTTTTTACCAAAATAAACGAAGAATACAAAAAATACATTAAAAATATGCTTTAACAAAACACACACACAGACACACACACACATATATACACACCAGTGGTGAAATCCGTTTACCTTCGCTACCGGTTTGGGAAACGGTAGCATGCACAGATGGTAAAAAACCGGGATGTAATGACGTCCCGGCGCGTGGGCGGAGCCTCCCGCCGCTGGCGCTA